CCTGGGAGCAGTGTAGGGAACGCTGCCTTGCTCAGGGACACCTCGGTAGCTATTGGTCTTTCGGGGACTTGAATCGGTGACCTTCAAGTTCCCACGCCAAGTCTCTTTAAAGCACTGCTGTGATGTTCTATTGAGTGTCCTTGATACATCTTATTTTATTGATTCATATTTAGAAAATATTTTTCTAACATCTTTATTTCTGATTCCTATAAATATATTGGCTAACTTGGACCAGTGAGGCCTCTTCTTAACATGATGTCCCCCTGCAGTCCAAGCTAAAGGCTCTCGTTTCATGGGCAGACTGAAGAGGATGACTCATTTCAAAGTACTTCCTTCAATTTATCTATACGTGGTATTATAGTTGAGTTAGAATATGGAGTAGTCATATTCACAACTACATATATGTGTACATACATATGTATAAACACATACATACATATTTATACCCATTTAAATTAAATGTTTACATTTACGTTGTTTATTTTGTTTTAACTTCTGTGCTATTTCAAGCCTTTATAACTACTTTTTTCATTTCATTTTTGAACGCCATATACGAAGGGAGCCTAAGGCTTTTATTTTCATTGCCAACCTCCTGCTTTCTTCCGAATTGTGTTCAAAGGAAAAGCAATAACCTGGCAATGAGCAGAATATTTTTCTTCAAAAGGTCAATTTCGAGTCTGATTGACTCTTTTCTCATTATCAACATCTGAAATAAGATGATCATTAGTGAGTTATGGTTTATTCAATTACATTACGCAATATCAATTAATTAGATTCTTCTGAGCTGAAGAAAAGATACAGTGAAAATATCTGTGTTGGTCTCTTTTCATCTCTTAAGAAACACACCTGTCCTTTCTCCTTCTGTTCCACACACTTTATTTCCTCCCATTTTGGTATACGGTTTTAATGTGTAAACATACAATGTATTGGATTATAGAGAAAAAGCTCCATTCTTCCACATTTTATCTTATATCTAATTTGATTGTTTATCTGGTTGTTTATCTCTCCTGGCTCATTTCCACCTCACAGAAAGGAAGCCTGACGGATATGGATCTCTCAGTGTTTGGACCTCACATCTGCTCTGCTTCTAGCTCATGGCCTCCGCCCCGCTCTGCCTACATTTCCTGCTTTTGTTTTCCTCATGATTTCTTATTTTTGTCTCTGTTACTTTCCTGAGTTCTTGGTTTTTTGATTTCGCAAAAACATAAAGCTGCTCCAAGGTGTCACACTTTGAGGACTTCCCTAACTTTCCTTGGCGTGTTGCATCATGCTGTTAGAGCTGGGCTACTGTAATGGAGTTTTTGGCCCTGACGCGGCTGTAGAAAAAGCTGAAAACACAACATTTGTTTCTTCCATGCAGATACGCAAGTCTTTACACGTCTTTACTCTTTAGTACAGTTTTTAAATGCATTAAACTCCAGATCCACAAAATATGGCTGAAATTTGAATTGAAAAAAAGGTTATTAAAATATTAGCTTCAGTGAAAGACAGTAACATCATGCTATGTGCATCTTGTTTCTTTGAAAATCAATACTTGGCATGTAGAAAAAAAAAGGTAGACATTTTTGACCAAGTGGCTTGCAATATTTAAAGCTGTCATGCTCTTGTGTGTTGCAATTTCCCCCAACATATGTATTACCAGGGCATACATTAAAGTGCCGGAAATAAACATACCACCAAGAGCTTTAAAAGCAAAGTGAATAAATCACAAAATATATTCATGTCATGTGATACCTTGCGTGGTGAGCGAACCGTTTAATCAACCTGTACTGTACTGTAGCTAGCAGCAGCAAGTTCGGCAG